ACCCATTGAATCATTTCACAAATCATCCATCTGACCTGAATAAGTCCTTTAGGAGAAGCCACTTTGAGCTTGACAATTTTGTTCTTTACCCAATCAATTGAGCTCCATAGCCAAATGGCCTGTTTCCTTACCCGTGAATAATTCTGACATAGTCTTGGTGTTTAGGGAACTAGGGGATTAATTTGCTAAGTTTAGGGAATTTTTGTAGGAGCCACCTTTGGCATTGTTCCTATGCCCCAAATGGGGTAAGAGTAGTCACTTTTTAGGAATTTGATATTTTCGAGGATTGCATTGTAGGCATGGATTCACCTTGATTAATTGAACTTTAATTGCTAATTTTCTTTGGTGAGGCCGAGATTAAAATAGGGTAATGTCTAGTGAAAATCTGAAAATTGAAAAAATTAATTAATATAGCTAGACCTATTACCTTGCGAAAAAGAGAATGTGAGACCCGGTCAAAAAGCGTAAGTGTTCTGCACAATAAGATGAGACTTGGGGATCTTTCGAAAGAAATGGCGTTCTCGTGCCAACATGACAAGGAAAATTGATCTTAATTAATTAAACTTGGAGGCTATTGAAAAATTAGCATTAGTCCTTCACGTACTTCCGGTATACGTCAAAGCACCAATGTGTCGCAGTGGTTTAGCTTAGTTGTACACCATGTCTACTCTTCGCATAGGTTTAGATGATAGTTCCTAATTTGTGTCCTACTAAATTCCTCAATCCGAAAAATAGCCCTGAAATTCCTGAACGCATTAAGTATTTCTTAGATTATTCCAAAACTCTCAAAGAAAGGGACTGGTTATTCCTTACCATTCACCATTCACCACCGCCTTCACAAGTCCTTCTGATCGGTAGCTAGTTTATTACTGTGTGTGTTGCCATAATTTTGAGGATGTTGTGAGTAATTTAGTCATTAATTTTAGCCAGAGTACAAAGATGTAGTTTATGGAAGAATTTTCTTGGTTTACTCTGTCTTTTCTATGAATATCCCTTTAACTACCTCTGCGTGCTAATTGTTTTAATTTCGTGTGGTGATTATCGTAAGTCCCGTTGTTCAGTTTGCTTGAGGACAAGCAAAGCTTAAGTGTGGGAAATCTGATAAGTCCATTTTTCAACACGCATTTGATGCGTGTTGGGATCGGCTCTTGACGGTTTTCCCTAGCTTTAAGGGTTGTAAGTCTCAATTTTAGCTCAAGACACGTTAACCGAGTGATGGATCGAGTTTTGGTATTTTAGAGTTGAAATCAGGTCTTTTAGAACCCGGTATCGACGCTTGAGAAGTGATCAGGACGAGTTAAGAAGCATTCGAGAGGGAATTCAGAGTTTCGAAGGCCACCGGGAGGTTGACGATGAAGATTTGATGAGGAAAGAGCTTTTGGATTGATCGCGGGGCCAACAAGGACTTGAAGTGGAAGAAACCAAAGAAATCAGAAATAAAAGGGCCACTCATGGTTGTGCGTACAAGGACGCACGCGTGCGTGCGTGCGTGACAATAGCGGCCAAGAATTTAAAAGATGGACACACGGTCGTGTGTCCAGGTACGCATGTCGTGCGTCCGAGGCGAGAAGCCAGAAAACCCACTGGGAGCCACGCACGGCCGTGCGTGGGGGGACGCACGTGTGCGTGGCACATTTTGACATGTGGGTCTGTCGGACGCACGGACGCCACGCATGCCGTGCGTGGACGCCGTGCGTGGGCGCCATGCGTGCCTCGTTTCAGTCATAATTCAACCCGAATTCATTGTTTCATATACATAAGGTTGCCATTTACCTGTTTAAGGGGGTGGAATTTAGAAAGAAGCCTAAGGACGAATTTTGAGAGCTGTTCACCCTTGTTCTTCAATTCTTTGAGATTCTTTGTATGTTCCTACTTTTTAATTTATGAGAATTATTTCTATTCTTTCCAATTCTATTGATTCTTCAATTATGAGTCGGGAATAGTTTTAATTAGGGATTTGGGGTTGATGAAGGGGTTAATCGCAATGTGTGGTTAGTTTCTTGATGGATTAATAGCATGAATGTCGTTTAATTTGTGTTTGAATAATTTAACTGATATCTTTGGTAACCTGGAACCGTGGCTAGAATTACAATTGCTTGTAGAATAAATTAAGAGAGATATAGTTTAGTCTAGGACACATTCACACACTTAATCGCTCGCTAAGAAATTAGTAGCGATTAAGGGGCCGTAAGTTCACTCGTCTTGGCAATAATTTAGGATCATGTCGCATGAGAGATCAACCTGGTCCCCTAAATTATTGTACTCTACGCCGCGAGAGCGGTAAGAACTTAGTAATGATTAGCTAGACTCAATTAAAATAATTTCATGTGATGAAGCCTGATCAGCCAGAAATCTGATTACCCCAGAATCAATCCCTGCTCCATTCGTCGTTAATTAGAGAGAACCCAACCTTTATTTATAAGTTAATTTGCATTTTAATTTCCCAAACCAACCAATTTCACACAATTGCATTTATTTTATTAAATTTTAATCGCTGAATTTGATTAATTCTTAATTCCCTTTTGTCCGTCCCTGTGGAGCTGATACTCGTACTTTTACCACTATTCTACCATCAATTTATGTGCGAGACATCAGTCTTCTAGGGAATTATTGTGTAAACTCTCCTACTGTGAGTAATTTTTTTTCGGTTCAAGAACACTCTTATCTATGCATGAGCTTGGTCATTTATAGGGATGTCTAGAAGCTGTCAAAGCTTTATGACATTTAAAAGCTTTCCTTGTTGACCGAAATTTCCTTTGTTGTATCTTTCCCTTTGAAGATGTATTCTTTCCTTTGATCTCGGTTCTTTTAGATGTGATAGATCATGACTTGCCGTGCTCTACTTAATGTGCTCAAATCTCCTTGTATATTTTCGGTCATCTTTGCATAAAAAAATATTTGAAAATTGTTTGCTTGAAAACGGCAATCAGGATGACATTCTGTCAATCATAAAAGCATATCTTTTTGTAGAAACATGCAAAGTACACAATTCAAGTTCCATGTGAATTATAACTTTAAGAGATACAAATAATATGAAGACACCATTATGAGACTCCGAGAGGAGAATGGTAAAAACAGATGATGAAGTCAAATAATCGCTTTTAAGATTTCAGAATGGAACCTTCCAGCATTGTATTCATATCTTTTTATTGGATGATTCAAATCCCATTTTGCAAGTTGTGTTGGATAGAGGACTTCATTATCTACAACTTTCATTAAGGAAGAATCATCAAATTCTTAGAGGAAACAACTCTGGAGCTACTGCCAGTCAGGCACGCCGTGCCTGACCCCGAGATGCGCTTTTTACTCCGAATGCACGGTCGCAGTCACGAGCGTGCCTGGCGCCGTGCCTGACCCCGAAAATCCTAGTTTTAATCAAATTTCATCTGTTTTCTTTAAATAAGTCCTCTATTTTCCCAATTGAGGGGAGAGGAGCTTAGAGATGTCTAGGGGTGAAATTTCTTCTACTTTTCCATCTTGTTCTTCAATTCCCTTGGATTATTTGTAAGTTCCTTATTTTTAATTAATGACAATTAATTTTGTTCATCCCAATTCTATTGATTCTTCAATTATGAGTTGTGAGTAGTCTTAATTAGGGATTTGGGGTTGCTGAAGGGGTTAATTATTATGTATGACTAAATTCATGATGGATTAATTGCGTGAATGTGTTTAATTTGTGTTTGAATGATTTAATTGATATCTCTTGAAACCTAGAACGAAAGCTAGAATTACAATTGCTTGTAAAATAAATTAAGAGAGATCTAAATTATTCTAGGACACCTTCACACACACTTCATCGTTCTCTAAGAGATTAGAAGCGATTAAGGGGTCGTACGCTCACTCAAATTGGCAATAATTTAGGATCATGTCGCATGAGAGATCAGCCAGCTGCTCCCCTAAATTATTGTACTCTACGCCGCGGGAGCGGTAAGAACTTAATAATGATTAGCGAGACTCAATTAAATTAGTTTCATGTAATTAATCCTGATCAGCCAGAAATCTGATTACCCCAAAATCAATCCCAGTTCTCTATCGTCATTCATTAGAAAGAACTCATTAGTTTAATTTCTTTTTTTCGCAATTTAATTTTCCCAATCAATCAAATCTCGCACATAGCATTGAATTTATTTTATTTATTTTCAAACGTTCAATTTAATTAATTCTTAATTCTCTTTTGTCGGTTCATGTGGAGATAATACTCGTACTTGCACCCTATATTATTACATATTTTAGGCACGACTCAAATTATTTTCCTGCAATGACTTATAAACCAAAAGTAACACTAGTTTTTTGTCATCAACAAAACAATATTTCAACAAACATTATGTTTTTTTTTTCGGAGCAACCACACGAGGTGGGGGAGTGCCGGGGAACACTTCCCAATTTTATTAAATAAAATTATGAAATTACAAGAGAAGTAAACGGAAAAAAAGCCAAGTAAAAACAAAATTAAAAGCAAGTCACATAATGAAAAATTAATTATCCCCCCCCCCATATGGTATCATATTATCATTATATATAGATTGTATAGAAAAGAAAATAAGATCACATTTTGTGAAGAGGACAGTAACAATTATGGGGGCCAAGATCATTTAGGAGGCAAGGAGGTTGAACATTTCCACATGCATACCACATTTCCCTTTGTTGGACCAAATCATTAAAGAACATGTCGAGTGCCTCACTTGTGACGCCCGGCATTACAATAACATGTGCCATTTCCCCCACACAAGAGAGTTGCCAACGACGAATGAATTCACGCTCACGAGGTCGCTCAAACACCACAGTTATAGTATTGTCATTGTGCATGGTGGTAATCCCTACCCCCTTGAGACGGTCACTCAAATGTTTCGCATTTTTTATGCACCTTTGAACATCATTTTGGAGTCCAGTTCGACCTTTGGTGCTGATACTATACCAAAGAAAAATGGGTGTGAATCCATTTCGACTACCCGAGATGGTGGCGTCTACTGAGGCAATGCACTCAACATTTCTTGAGAGGTTATGTATGAGACGTTTTCTTGTTATCTGGATTCCGCATGGCATTGGGCATCCTAGGAACTTGTGCCCAGATATTGTGACACTTCCTATCATTGGCTTCTTGAAACTGATTTTTGGTACATTTTTTAAGAAAGGAACAATGAGCCCTAAAAGCGCTGCATCACAATGAATATAGACGTCTTCTTCTGAGTATCCACATTCTTCAAGTGTCTCTATAACGATGTCCAAGTTATCCAAGGCTCCTTTGAAGGTAGTTCCTACAACATTATGCATACGACTTTAACAAAATGTTGTATATATTATTTTGTTTAAGTTATGGCAACAAGTGTAGTGTAGTGCTTATGAACATTTTGAGGGCATAGATTGATTTTACGACAAATGCAATTAATTATGAAATAAAAAGACTTTATCCATTTTTAGTCCTTCGAATATGGTGAAAGAGGCAATTTTAGTCCTTGATTTTGAATCTTTCCACATTATTTATTCATTTGGCTATTTTGAAAGTGACACTTTTATCCTTCAACTATTAAAATAAAGACATTTTTAATTCTTCATTTATTGTAGCAAGATCACAATGAAAGGAATAAAAATGTTGCTTTCGTAAAGGTCTAAGGATTAGGCATTGAAAAATTCAAAGACATGGGCTAAAAATGTCTTTGTCATAGTAGTTGAAAGATTAAAAGTAAAAAATATCAAAGTTTAGTAACAAAAGTGGCACACACATAATAATTAGAGAATTAAAAGTAGCAAAACTAGTATATGAAATTAACAACGGGATTATTATAAACAAACATGCTCACTACGAAAGAAATAACTAACAATTAGAAAGTGATCATGAATAAAGAAACTAAGCAATGATCCAAACTACACTTTGTCTCTTTGTTTCAATGATCAGAAATAAGCTTCAAAAGTATCGCTAAAACTCATTGCCTCTTTGTTTGATTCACTTTTACGAGTTACTAGTAAATAATCTAAATTAGTTACTTAATATTAATAGTTATAATACTAATGATAATACTAGTAAACGTACTAATAAGAATAGTATAGTTATAATAATGACAATAGTAAATATATTAATAATAATAGTAATGATATTAATGATAATTAATAACGGTAATAATGATCATAGTAATAGTAGCAGTGGTAACAATAATAATAGTCATAATACTAATAGTGATACTAAGAATTAATAATAGTAATAATAATAATAGTTATAATAATAATAGTAATAATAATAATAATAATAGTAATGATAATTGTAATAAAATAATAACACTAATAGTAATACTAATGATGATGATGACAATGTTAATAATAATGTACCAATGTTGAGATTGATGACAGCTGGTTTTCCCTTATTTTGAAGCAATTTTGATCTCAAATGGGTGTAGTCCATTTCTCCATTGACCATAGTGTTGATTCTTTCAAATTCCATTTTATACATTTTAGCAGCCTTGAAGACCGAGTAATGTGATTCATCTGATGCGTATAATATTCCATTCGGAAGTACCTCTCTCCTATTAAGATATCACACTCTCATCATATAATGTTAATTTAAGTAATTAATAAAATACTGGAAAAATTCCAAAAATAGGAGTAAAAATGTTTAAAATATTCAAAATAGGACTAACGTGTTTTTACCAAAATAGGATTAAGTACTACCAAGTTTAGAAAATACTGTCATGTTTAAAGTCCGATACTGCCATAATATTTAGTAATTTATCCTATTTTGGAAATAAAAACATGCATTATAGTCTCATTTTGAAATTTACAAACGTTTTTAATTCTACTTGGGGTATTTCCCTAAAATACTATGTATGACTTTGTCGAAATGACAAGAATTGTTAGATAACGATTGTTACTACCAAATGTAAAAATCCAACTACGAAAAAAGATATATGTGTGTTTCGAAGATTTGATATACATATACATATACGTGTGTGTGTCTATATATATATATATATATATATATATATATATATATATATATATATATATATATATATATATATATATATATGAAAATTCTCAAGTCCAGCACCTCCCGGTCTAAACGCCGTCCGAACAACGCCGTTTGGGGCGGTTCCCGATGGATTTTTTTATGAAATTTTTTGAGCATGTTTCTCATCAAGTCTAGTTTATTCATACCAAATTTCAGCTCAAAATTCGATCGGGAAGGCAATCAACTAATTCGTTGAAGTTAACTGCGTTTTTCTATGTATAATTTGGCGCAGTTAACTTCAACGAATTATTTGACTGCCTTCCTGATCGAATGTTGAGATGAAATTTGGTATGGATAAGTTAAACTTGATTAGGAACATGCTTAAAAATATTCATCAAAAAATTCCACCGGGAACCACCCCAAACGGCGGTGTTCGGACGGCGTTCAGACAGAAAAGTGTTGGACGGCCACAGGAGAATGACTATATATATAGAGTAGTCTTCCCGTCCAGTCAGCCTGACGGGAACCGTCGTCCGGAAGAGGACGTTTTAGGCTCTCCCCGTTGGACGTTTTTGATGAAATGTTTTAAGGATATTATTTATCAAGTCTAGTTTACACATACAAAATTTCAGCTAAAAATTCAATGGGGAAGGCAATCAAATAAATTATTTAAGACACTACACAGTTAATATAAATAAACACCGCAGTTTTTTTAAAAAATCATTTAATTGCTTTCCCGATTGAATTTGTATCTAAAATTTGGTATGCATAAACTATACTCTCCCATATATATACATATATATATGTATATATATACATATATATATAGTATATATATACATATATATAGTATATATATCTATATATATATATATATATATATATATATATATATGTATATAGGGAGTGGATCAGGTGAGAAGTGCCCTTAGGCTGAGAAGCTACGAAATCTAACATATAAGCTAAAAGTACAAACTTTTAACCAATAAATCATAACTTATAGACCCCCTCGAAAATAATTACGAAAATGCCACCGCGTCCAAATAACTCCAGAAACCTGGAAAAATTTTTGACGCGGTGGCATTTCCGTAATTAATATGGAGAGCTTTATAAGTTATGATTTATTGGTTATAAGTTACTATATTCAGTCTATAGGTTTGCTGCGTTATAAGATTAGATGCAAATCTAAGGGCTGAGATTACGTCTCACTTCTCATCTTAAGGAGGACTTATCACCTGATCTTTTCTCTATGTATATATATATATATATATATATATATATATATGTATGTGTGTGTGTGTGTGTGTGTGTGTGTGTGTGTGTGGAGCGGATCAGCTGAGAAGTGCCCTTGGGCTGAGAAGCTGCGAAGTCTAACTTATAAGCAAAAAACATGAACTTTTAACCAAAAAATCATAACTTATAGACCCCTCAAAAACACGAACTTTGTGCAAAAAAAAATTTCAGGTTTCTGGAGTTATTTTGACGCGGTGGCATTTTCGTAATTTTTTTGGAGGGGGTCTATAAGTTATGATTTAGTGGTTAAAAGTTCGTGTTTTGAGCTTATAAGTTAGACTTCGCAGCTTCTCACATGATCTTTTCTATATATATATGTGTGTGTGTGTGTGTGTGTGTGTGTGTATACATATATATATACACACATATATATATATATGTGTGTGTGTGTGTGTATACATATATATATACACACACACACATATATATATACATATATATGTACATATATACATATATATGTACACACACACACACACACATATATATATGGGAGAGTTCAAATAAAAAGAGGCGCTCTCGTGCAAAGTGTGAACGATTGCACTTTTTCCTCACTTGTCACCGCGTTGCACTATTGCATGTTTCTTTTGCACAAAATTGTCACCACATTTTTTATCAAATTTAGTGCATTGTTGACTCATTTTGAGTCATTAGATATAAAAATGAATGCACAAGATTTATAATCTCCCCTATCTATGTGTGTGTGTAAAAAAATTACATTACTATTACTCTTTAAAATGTGATGGATAAAAAATTACTTAATAATCATTAGTGATTGTAATTGTGTTCAAATTTACATCTTAGTAATTACATGTAAGTTATCAGTAGTTATTATGTATTTCGTATATTTTTGTGCACGACTTTTTCAGTAGTAATAATTAAGAAAAAACTCCTAGATATAATGAGACGAAATTAGTAAGTTTTTTATTGTAATATAATGTTGATGCAAACGGCCTATATACGGAGTACTAATTAAGTATATATGTGTGTACATGGACATGCATAATATATAACAGGGGAAAGTTCTCGAAATATGACTAAAATAGTTTAAAAATTCCAAAATAGGATTGTCATGTTTTTATTCCCAAAATAGGAGTAATTTTTGTCAAGTTTAGAAAATAATGGCATGTTTGAAGTCTGGTACTGCCAAAACATGACAGTAATTAGTCCTATTTTGGGAATACAAACATGACAGTCCTATTTAGGAATTTTCAAATCTTTTTAATCCTATTTCGGGTAATATTCTCTATATGACGGTGATAATTAATACTCATATACCAAGAGAAAAATAAATGTGCTAACCCTAGTAAAATTCCATGTAAATTTCCTTCAGTGCCACCATTAGTAATATAACCCCAATACTCATCCTTCTCAATCTCCCAGAGTTGAGCAAACCAATCCAAGACTCCAACTTCAAAATCTTTGGAATGAAAATCCATAGCGTTCTCCATGAAGGGATCACCGCAATTGTTCAAGTGGTAACGCAATAATGGTGCTAAAGTCGCATGGTGATCATAAACTATGTTTACTGGATAACCTATAACATAAAAACTTACAATAAATTTTACTATAACTAAAGCTAGTAAATATGCAAATCTTTTTAAGTACTTGTATGCAAATATGTACTCTTTATGTGTAACTGATGTATAAATTAAACCTCAAGATGCACGTAGCTAGCTATTTTGAACATGCTACGTACTTGTCAGATGAGATCAACAAAATTGTTGGAATAAATCAGGTTTATCACATACTTATCTAGCTATCTCGTTTAAAAATACATGTAATTGTTAAGATTCGGGGTTCCATCCTAAAAAGTCAACCTGCTAGGAGGAGTAGTTCATATCTTAACATAACACTCTATTTTAAATTACCGGTGTGGGACTTTAATACCCCTCCTCACGACCAGACACTTCGTCTGGATCGTGCCGTCATTCATTTTCTTCGTCATTCATCATTGTCATTTTTTATAATCATCGACGTTTCTTCATAGGGGCCCACACCAGAGATCGGTTTGACTCTGATATCATGTTAACGCCTAGAATTCCATCCTAAAGGTCAACCTAATAGACGGAATAATCCAGATCTTAATATAGGACTTAATGCATTCACAAGTATCTCGTTTGAGAATTCAACACCCCTCCTCACGATCAGACACTTTGTCTGAATCGTGCTGTCATTCATTTTTTTTCGTCGTTCATCATTGTCATTTTTTATAATCATCGTCGTTTTTTCACAGGGCACCACACCATGGATCGATTTGGCTCTGATAACATGTTAACATTTGAGAGTAAACTAGCAATATAAAAATACGGTAAAGTTACTAATATCAAAACTGGGATTCACTAAAGAATGAGTCGTGCACATAGAGTTTGCCTCCGACAATGCCCGAAAGATACCCTTCCAAATTGAGCAAGCCTCTGATTGCCTTCATTAGTTTTGAGAAGATATTTTAATAGTTGGGATTATTTTGAGATAATTGAATGGATTATTTCAAGTGGATCACTAAAAATTGTGATTATTCTTGTCCATTTTTCCTAAAAAAATATGGAGCCCTTTGCCGCAGCCTCGGCCACCACCTATCAATGTCACCTCGAATCGGCAAAAAAATGCCATTTTGTGTAAAAACTATCATTTTTCTTTGGAAATGTCATAAAGATGGCATTTTTACTCTTTGAAAATGCCAAATTTTCTCAAAACCTGCCACCATGATATGATGGCATTTTTAATAAATGTTGGCATTTATTCCGATGGTCGGAGCTGGTGGTGCTCGGAGGTTGTTGAGGCTGCGGTAAAGGCATGCATTTTTTTATTTTGTTATTTTAATTTTTTTAGTTTTTATTTAATTTTTTTTATTTTAATAATTTTTTATTTTTATTAATTTTATTTAATACGGAATATATTTTATTTATTATAGTTTTTCGTGTTGTTATTTTTTACAATTTTATTATAATTTAATTAATGTTATTTCTTTTATGCTTTAATTATTAATGAAAGTGATTGAACCTTGGAGCTTGGGTAGGGGTATATTTGTCCAAACACTAAAGGTACTCTTATTCAAAACATGATACTCCTATTTTATATTTTACCTGTGGTTTACTCCTATTTGAGGAATTCACTCTTGTTTTGTTTTCCTGTACATTTCTTTTTTTCCGTAGTTGATGGAATATTGAGTAGAATTACTTAGGAAAATATAATAATGTGAAAAGGATATCTAGAAATATATATCTATGGTGAAATTAAGGTAACAAAAGAAAAAGGGGAAAAGGGTGAAACTTAAAAGAAAATTGGCAAAAGATTGATGGGGAACAGGCCTGTTATGAATTGAGAATGAGTTAGAAGAGAAATACAAACATAAACAGGTGAGTGAAACTAAAAAATTGGAGGAAGAAGAAAAGGACAAAAAAAACTATCTCGGGTGGATTTTTACTAATAGAATGGGAAATACTACCTCCTTTCCTATTATAAATTCTAAATAGGTTTAACACACAATTTAAGATAGTGGGTATTGTGTGGTGGAGAGTTGTGCAGAGGAGAGAGAAATGTGTAAGAAATGTTGTGAATCACAAATTATTTACCAAAAAGGGAAAGTGGAAGTTTTAATTGGAATGAACGAAAAAGGAAAGTTAGAAGTTATAATAGGAACGGATGGAGTATATAATACATAAACATGTAAAGAAAGAAAATGTCTGGGCATAAAAGTAAATAAATAAATAAATAAAGTTATTGGGGAGGAGAAGAAAAAACAGTACATGAGAATGCTTTCAAAAATTAATGAAAAGTGAGAATATTTGTTTAATGTTTTCTAAAGAAAAGGTTAAAAAATGAAATAGCATGTTAAAAACTGAAATAGAATTTTAATAATTAATAATTAAAATTATTAATTATGAGATTACATAAATGTAGCATTATTATAAGAAAACCAATTCTATTTGTACACATTTTTACTGTTACGCGTCTATGAAGGATTTTGATTGTCTGTGAAAACATTGTTCATAGACACAAAACTTGTCTTCACTAATGCATGTAAAAACGTATAAACAGTAAAAACGTGTAAAAAGAATTTTGGTTATAAGAAAAACCGATGAAGGATGAAATTATTCTTATTCATTTATACACTCCCTCCAAGGATGAAATAGTGTCAAGTTGTGGCAAACACTGTCGGATTTGCAATTTTAGTTCTCTAACTTTCGGCTGGTATCATTATTGGTCCTGTAATTTTAATCACTTGCAAATTTGATCTTATAACTAATAAATCTTTCCAATTCAAGGATTTTTCCACTAGAAAGTACATTTTTCAACAGAAAAATCCGACGTTGTCGACATCTTTTTCGGTATATACAAATCGCCGGAAAGTGTAATTTTTAGGGAAAGTCCTTAAATCACTAATATTTATTAGTTACAAGATTAAATTCGCAAGTGACTAAAGTTAGGTAACTAGTAATGAAAGTAATAAAATTTGCAAGTAACTAAAGTTACGGAAAATGGTCAAACAATAGAGACAAATTTCCTCTTTTAAATTGTGCATAAGAAGAAAGGACATTTTTAAATTGGAATGGAGCAAGTGTACCCATGTGAAAGTTGACTCGTTGAGCAATGGTATCGAGAAACTTTTTCAATGTACGTTTCAAGCTAGTGTCGTCGTCTTGTGGCTCCGTCACCGTGATGTCCATGTTCTTCCTTGCCGGGGGTGGAGGCGCCATTTTGACCCTCTGATTTTCAACAAATTCTCTGTTGATGAAATCCCTTACGTCCAATTTGAACGTTGCATTTTTACTTTATTAGATTTCTTGATCAAATAATTAATAATAATATGTAGTCATATAATAGTAATAATTTCAAAAATATTACTCAAATAAATTTTATTTACAAAAATGTTATTAAATTTTCTATGAGTACTATAGTACGTGCCATATAATCATGTATGTGTAAAAATGGAAAGTAAATCATTATGGTTAAGGGATCACATTTTTGAACAACATTTATTAGTCATAAAGTATTCTAATAACAATTGCGATAATGATAAAATAAAAAATACAAGAAGTCAACAACGATAGTAATAAACGGAGTAATACAACAAGAGATTTTTTCAAAAACATTATTGAAATTAAAGTTATTTACAAAATATGACTAATTAATGTTAGTATGCTTTTTTTTTGTACACCAGAAAATAAAAATTAGGTATATAAGTTAGCTAATATAGATGTATAGTGTTATGCTTATTTAAGTGTACAAATAGGTGTAAGTTACTATGATTAAAAGTACTACTATAATCACAAAACTTTTAAAACTAACTTTCATTTTAATAATGATGATGATGCAAGCTCTAGAAATTTTGACAAATTTACTTGCATATTCAATCATATTATTAAAAAGTGATTTCAAAATTGTAAAACTTTTTCTTGAAGATGATTTTACGTATGATTAATTAAAACACAAAGAGGTTTGACGCATTTTTTAAATCACAGAGAGTTAATGCGCCAAATTTATATTTCACGAGAGGGTTTAGTGCATTTAACATAATGTATAAATATAAAACAAGTATGAGACTACATGAAAACAACGAATAAAACTTGATATCCTAGCCTATGTTTTCTTAGTGAGTGATGATCAATGCATTCAAGACACACAATTTTTTTCTAATAACTATTAATTAGTTAAATATATATATAACTTTACAACACTAAATTACTTTGTAGTTTTCAGTCGAACACACTTCTCAACTGATTCACTCTTGTTATATATACCAAATCAAATGCTACACCCATTTTTTAATAAATGTAACATGTTGAATTTTACGCTATTCACATGTTCTACTTTGATTATACTTTATTTATTAATGTATTAATAACATATTTTTTTAAAAAAAAGTTGTTAATTTCTTCTAAAAAAAGTTGTTAATTTTCAAAATCTTATTGTTTCAATTTTTACTAATACAAACTAATATATACTAAAGGTCAAATAATATACAATATAAAACAATAATAACAATCAAGGAGGAATTTGAATAGTGACTTATATATATGGAGTAAGGAATTTTTTTACTTGGACTATAATTCCTTCCAGAACAGACCAGATCAGATTTGGATAGTTATAACAATACAAAGAAACCAGACCAGATCAGACCAGTTCAGATCTGATCGGACCAGACCAGACCAGCAAATTACAGTCCAAGTAAAAACATCCTAACAATCAAGATGATTTTGCATCCTAACAATCAAGACGATTTTGCTGCTTTGGGTTTATGTCTTTGATGTCCGCATAAGTCGCAACTCGAAGTGCCGGCTCTAATTAAAATAACTAGGGTCCTACTAAATAGCATTCAGGGAATTAATTTTTTAACTCAACCCTATTTCTGTAATTATTTATTTAATCAGCACTAATTTAGGAAAACTTGAGTTTTGAGTTTTTCTTTGGAAGACACTAGTTTTGAAATTGAAAAAGACAGTTAATAATATAGACCACTTTCGTTCCTTTTAAAGGTTCTCATGTCAAAAAAGGCACAATTATTTAGACAATAATTAAATAAGGTAGTTTAAATATACTTTAAGAAATAATTTTAATAGATATATACTACCTCCGTCCCAATTTACTTAGCCAAACTTGACTTTTCAAGTCAACGGCCTCTAACTTTGATCAATTATTTAAGCTAATATATTTATGCAAAATTTTAATAATTTTATACTTTTATGATAGTGTTTTTAACAAAGAACATTTTCATATCATTTTCATATTATCAATACTTTCTCTATATAAACATATAATCGGTCAAAGTTAGACGCCGTTGACTTGAAAAGTCAAGTTTGGCTAAGTAAATTGGGACGGAGGGAATAGTATAATGAGGTTAGTGTTCATAATTGTGATGTTATAAATGTAATATTTTTAATATTTAATGATTAATTTATCAATTAAGAATGTTAAATGTTTTATAAAAATAAAACGAAAACTTTTATATGAGACATCCAAAACGGAAAGTGAGAATCCTTCTATGGGATAGGGCAGTAAGTGTCATCTTATATAATTTTTTTAATAATCCAAGTATATGGCTTACGCTCCCATAATCTTAGAATAGAATCTATGAATTACCCTCCAAAGCCCGTACACAGTTAAATATGAATTTGATCACAGTCAAACCTCCACCAAAGAAGAGACTTGGGATGAATTATATCCATTGGATTCCACCACCAACACGTGTCATCTTATATTAAAAACACATTAGGTGTCAGCTTTTCTAAAAGAACTGTGTTTTGATACTCGTAGTCGTCAAGAATAATTTAGAAGTGGCGATGATGTAAATATTGCTCAAAGGCCGGCAAGTTTCCGGTAGTAAATTGTACCATGGCCGATGCTAGTCTACTACGTAGTATTTGAATGGGAGGCCGGCCGGCCGTTCGGCCGGTGGAGCGCAAGTCTTACCGTCTAAACGGACTCTAGCGTTGGGCGAGGTAGATCTTTCCACTGATTTCCGTGCTTTGTGTACGTATAAACGGCCGCCGGCCGAGGAAGCTAGTAATTACGGTAGCTAAGCTAGGCACAAAAAGCTTTGTAGAAAGGGTGGAGTATTTTGATGATTAATGGAGGATCTCTATTTATAGAATTGTAAAATTGTTACTTTGACTTTTTCACCGGGAAGAGTTTTAATAAGCTTGTTTTTACTTGAATAGATCACATCAGATCAGATTATAGTAGATTAGATTTTAATCGATCATATTAGATCAGATCAGACCAGATTTGACTTTCGTAGTTATAAAATACATAAATGTCAGATGTTTATCAGACCAGACTAGATCAATTCAGACCAGACCAGACTCGATTAAACCAGACTAGAATTAAATAGACTAGACCATACCAGCATATTACAGGTCAAGTAAAAACATTCTAAGAGAGCGTTTGATAACATTGAAAAGTAATTTCACTCTTATTTTTTCATATTAGGATGTCTTTACTTGGACTGTTTTCAGAGACCGTACATTTATCAAACCAAACAAGTTCAAACCAAATCAGACCATAATAATAAATTTCAATCCAACCAGATAAATCTTTACTACACAATTAGCGTGCCATAATCACCTTAAATTGCTTGGTCACCTAAAACCAAGAGCGGAGCAGGACTGATAAATGGGGGCAGAATGTGACAGGGAAATAGCAAAACATATCTACTATACCTACAAAGTGTACTTTGATGGATCAATTCGGTCGTATGATGGAAAACCTCAAGTGGAAGCAATTTTCCCGCCCACTTTTATGGATCAAAGTCGGTCGTATCGCAAAAGGACATAGCTCCAGTCCAATACACATTTAATGTTGATTTGATGCAACTATGTAGGCATGTCATATCAAAACTTTTCCATTATTGATCCAAAAAAGTTGGAATCTCTCACCCCAGGAGCCCCCCACCCCGACCCGACAGGATGGTGGTGAGGTTAGTCACGATGACTCAGTCAGCAGAATGGCAGAAGGCCCATACATCCGTGCGCATCAGAGGCCTAGCCTTATTTCAGGTTCTGTGACCTCCACCCGGTCGCTACGAGGATTCGAACCTGGGTGCATTGATCCAAATCTCCCACCACTCGACCAACTGAGCTACCCGTGCGGGTTAACTTTTCCATTATTTAGAGCACGTTTGATAGCACAAAAATCGATTGTTTTGGTCGATTCTGTTGAAATTTATGAAGTTCTGATTGAAGTGGCTGCATTGGCTGATTCTGCTGATTTAAGAAAAAAATGTTTTTAAAATATATTTTATTAATAAAATAAAGAAAAAATTATATGTAAAATAGCTAAAATGGTCATCTACATTAACTTCAGTCAATACAGCCACGAAAGTAACTTCAGCCTTACTTTTTCTGCTTATTGCACAACTCAGCGCGCGAAAGCAAAAATTACGCGTTTGGTGAAAAAGTTGGCTGATAAACCTGATAAGCCGATAAACAGTGTTACCAAACGGCCTCTTAAATTCGTACCTACTCCCTCCGTCCCTAAAAGGTTGGTCAAAGTTCCCTTTCACGTGGATTAATAAAGTAAAAACTGTGTGGTTGAAATTTGTGCAGAGGAGAGAGAATTAATTTTAGCCACATATTCCTTACTTTAAATGGAAATGACAAATCTTTTTGGGACATCCAAAAAAATGAAATTTGACCAACCTTTTCAGAACGGAGAGAGTATTGAAGAAACGATTTGGGCAGCATATGAATATTTAATGTAGAGGAAATTGACAATTCAAAAGTTTTCTAAACATTAATTACATTGTCATTCCAAATCTCAAACTTTGATGAGGTGTGAAGTAAACATTCAAATTTGTGCATGTAATTTAAATACCCAAAACTTTATATAAAAAGTTATTTTCGCACCATTATCATATATTATTTCTTTCAAAATGGTAATTTATGGGCTTAATTGCATAATTTAAAAAACCAAATTAAAAGTGTTGTAATTATATAGATTGGGTGTAACATTGTTTATTTCTCAATGAAAGTTTATAATGTTATTTGTTTCTTCATTAATTCTAAAATATTTTTTAATTATGCAATTAACACCATAAATTTACATTTTTGAAAAATATAATACTATCGTATTTGATTATGGTGCCAAATTAACGTTTATATAAAGTTTGGAGTATTTAAAATACATATACAAGTTTGGGGTGTTCATCTCACAACCTTTCAAAGATTGGGGTATTTTAATTATTTTTCCTTTTATTGGACTATACATCATTTGAGATAACGTGGAGCTATTGGCAAACAAAGGCATCAAGGACCCTTGATCCGGGGAATGTCATATTACCACGAGAGTGTCATATTACTGGGTGTGTTAGATTGATGAGAATGTATCCAATTTATTCTCATTTGTTTTTGGTTAAGATTAAGGGAATGTGATATTAATTTACTTGGTTGAAAGATATCTTATATTGCAGATATGGTGAATTAGTTCAATGCCCTCTAAATATTTTATTTTAACACAATAAACCTATTGCAACATACATCTAAAGTAACTAAAATTCAAGAAAAATGAAATATCTTAATAATAAATAAAACAAACCTAATTGATTTTTTTAAGTAAACTACGTTAATCGTAAAAAGCTGTAGATCCAGTTAAAAAGTGAAAAAAACTTTGTTCAAATAGTAATCTAAATATTTTTATTATTATTTCAAAAAAATTAAATTTAAAAAAGTTCAAGTGATTCATAAAACTTTTTTTCAAGTTAAAGAAAAAAAGATCAATTTTGCCATTAACTTTTGAGATCCACTCATCAAAAACTTAAATAATCTATAAGTCTTATAAAATAAATACCTTAATAAATTTAAATGTTAAGGAAAAAAGAATTATGAAAATAACAAGAATATACATTCCAATATAATTAAATAAACATACTCCATCTGTCCCACTTAAAATGTTGTCACATAATCTACGATCGACTGACCAGGATAAGCCCAATATCAATTTAAATGTTTTAAGCACCACTTTATAAAATAATGAGTTAACAAAGACATTTTTAACAATGTATGCCCAATGTGATAAGCCTAGGAGCAATTGAATTAAGAATAAGTCACGAAGAAGACTAGTAAATAAGAATAGCAGAAGAGATGATTTTCATATATTTTCTGTCCTCCCATTACATGGATGCAAACACCTATTTAAACACTTCAAATAAAGAGAGGTCCCACTCCTACATGCATAGTGATCTCTCCCCCACAAAGCCAATAACTAAAACTGTAAACAAATGCAACTGCATAATGGTAAATAACCGTAAGCGAATAACTATAACAAAAGAAATAATAATAAGACTCCAGCAGGCTCTACTCCGTATGGGCCAACCAAATAGACAATTGGTTGATAAATGTATCCGGATCCAAATAACCTGGGTTGGCTTTCCTTGTACGTCCACTGGTCCTATCAATACCCCCTCCTGAAATAGCGGCCTTGTCCCCAAGGTCGAAAGCAGAGACCTGTTCACGCACAAAAGCAACATCTTTCCAGGTGGCATCCTCTGGTGGTAGATGGAACCATTTGAGTAACACTTGATCGCATGGAACATGGCCCCGAGAAATAGTGCGCCTGCCTAATACACATTCTGGTTGCGGTACATCCCCTGGTGCGGTGAGTGCAGGAGGCAGGGTAGAAGAACACGAACTCTCCCCGATATGTTTGCGTGAAAAACTGGGTGTATTTCGAATGTGGTGGTAAGTCAAGGCGATAAGCAACTGATCCCACCTTGGCTGAGATTGTGTATGTCCCATAATAAAGAGCACTCAACTTTTGAGTGGGTCTATGGAAAACAGAATGTTGTTGATAAGGTCGTAACTTTAAATAGACCTTGTCACCCACCTCAAAGAAAACATCCCTACGACCCTTGTCTGCCATTTGCTTCACGTGATTAATGGACGCAGACAACGGCGTACAGAGCTGAGAAAAAGGATCTGATCTCTGCCCACTAAACATTGATCAACGGCCTCCACTGGAGAAGAGCTGCCTGAATACCGCGAAATAGGTGGGGGATGTCGCCCATATAGTGCATAGAAGGGGGTCATCCCGGTAGAGCAATGAAAAGTTGTATTGTACCAAAACTCAGCCCAAGGCAAAAAGGAAGTCCATCTGCGTGGATGGTTGTGAACAAAGCAGCGCAAATATTGTTCCAAGCAGCGATTGATGACTTCAGTCTGTCCGTCGGTTTGAGGGTGATTAGTAGTAGACATCTTGCGAGTGGTTCCCAAAGCAGTGAACAAGGCAGTCCAAAACTGACTGGTAAATACCGGGTCACGATCAGAGACGATTGATTTCGGGATCCCATGATGTTTGACTACGCCATCCAAGAAGATCTCAACTACGCTTTTAGCAGTAAATGGATGTCGAAGAGCAAGAAAATGGCCGTATTTGCTTAAGCGATCAACGACCACTAAGATGGTGGACTTTCCTTGCGATGTGGGCAGACCGTTATTGAAGTCCATTGAAACATCTTTCCAAACTTGTTCCGGAATGGGTAGCGGGTGAAGTAACCCGGCTGGTTGGAGGGAAGAGCTTTTAGCCCTCTGGCAGACATCACATGCAGCAACAAATTGCTCAACGAATTTGTGCATATATGGCCAGTAGAAGCCACATGAGATACGCTTATATGTACGAAGAGCCCCAGAGTGACCGCCAGTCGGTGTGCTGTGAAAATCAAGCAACAAATTGGGAATTAACTGGGACTTTGGTGATAACATGACACGACCTTTGTAACAGATCAGTCCATTACGTATCGTGTATGGCCCACTGGGATGTTGTTCAGCCTTATGTTTTAAGGCTAATATGTCTGGATGGCTTTATGTTTCTGCTGCGATGTCGTCCCATATGGTAGCATGGATCGTCGTAATAGAGAGCAAACTCGGTTGGTGCTCATGGTGTCGACGAGATATAGCATCAGCTACTTTGTTAGAGCTCCTTGTATGAAACCGAATCTCATAATCATATCCATGAAGCTTTGCTACCCATTACTGTTGTTCTGGAGTCCCAATACGTTGCTCAAGGAGGTGTTTCAAACTCTTCTGATCAGTAAGGATGTAAAAACGACGACCTAGCAAATAAGGTCGACAAAGGTGTACCGCCTGGAGGATGGCGAGCATTTCCTTGGCATAAATGGACCATGAGAGCTTGTTAACACCTAATGCTTTGCTCATGGTAGCATGCGTCTGTTTCCACTACAAAGGTCTGCTGAAAATATGGCATAGTCGATGTTGAAGTAGAAGTCATGGTTTGCTTAAGACCCTGAAACGCAAGTGTGGCATTTGGAGACCACACAAACCTGCCCTTCTTCAGCAAGTCAGTTAAGGGCTTGGCAATGAGTCCATAATGGCGTACAAACTTGCGGTAGTAGCCGGTTAAGCCCAGGAATCCCCATAATTCAGTTTTGGTCATCGGTGTGGGCCACTCAAGCATTGGCGTGACTTTTGCAGGATTAACCTTTACTCCTTCCGCTGTGATGAGATGGCCTAAGTAGAGTAACCCAGGAAGCCCAAAAGCACATTTGAAAACTTGAGATAGAACTTATGTTGTTGGAGCACCTGAAAAGCTATTTTAACATGTTCCAAATGAGCTTCCCATGTTGGGCTATATATCAAAATATCATCAAAGAAAACTAGAATAAATTTGCGCAAATACGGCCTAAACACATCATTCAAGAGAGCTTGGAAAGTGGATGGTGCGTTGCATAAGCCAAACGGCATGACCAAATATTCATAATGCCCATTGTGTGTCCGAAAAGCTGTTTTTTCTATATCCTTGGAACACATGCGTACTTGGTGGTAGCCAGAACGGAGGTTAATACGGGTAAAACATTTGGCGCCATGTAATTCGTCCAGTGTATTGTCACCGGTGGGTGTCAGAAAACAGTCCTTTATAGTGCAGGCATTGAGTGCTCTATAATTGGTGCAAAACCGCCATTACCCATCTTTCTTCTTCACTAGTAAAACTGGGGACGAATAGGGACTTGTGCTTGGACGAATAATACCTTTGTTGAGCATTTCTTTTACTTGCTCCTCAATCTCATTTTTCTGATAATGAGCATACCGGTATGGTCGTACGTTAACAGGTCCCACATCAGCTTTTAGTGTAATCTGGTGCTCGACGTTACGTTCGGGGGGTAACTGTGCAGGTTCTTGGAATAAATAAGCATGCTCTTGTATCAAATTCCACATATCGGTAGCAATCTGTCCACCATCCTCTAGGGCTAAAACGCTCAGAAGGAAGCAAACGTCTTCTTCCAGTAGCTCGTCACAGTGCATAGCCATCAAATGTGTTTGGTTGCTACTTATTCCTCTCACAGTATGTGTTTGTTGGTTCCAGGTGAAAGACATTGTCTTGTTCTTCCAATCATTAACCACAACACCAAGTTGTTCCAACCATTGGACGCCCAAAACTGCATCAACACCAACCAACGGTATGGAAAAGAACGTGACCTCAAAGGCTACATCATGTATCTGTAGCGGCACCCTATCAAAACGACCCCGGCATTTGAGGGGAGCCCCATTAGCAACCCTCACGTGAAATGGTTGCATGGGGGAAAATGCTAATTGGAGAGTTTCAGCGAAAGTTGTGTGTGGAGCCGCTGTCAACTAGAATAATCAGTTCCTTTTTCCCAATAGTAGCCTTAAGCCGCAGAGTCTGGTGATCCGTCCAAACCGTTAAGGCATGTAATGAAATTTCAGGTGGGCCGTCCTCTTGAAAAACTTCCTCCTCCTCTAGTGCTGCTTCTCCTTCTTGTAACAAAAGGATTTGTGGTTGTTTACAACGGTGTCCTGGGGTGAATGACTCGCTGCACGAAAAACAAAGTCGTAGCTGCCGCCAGCGTTGCATTTCATCCCATGGTAATCGCTTGATGGCCGTGGAATTTTTGTTTGGCTCCAGTTTTGGTGGTGGACCGGGTACTCCCGCAGCAATGTTAGACTTGGCAGCACCAGAATGGTCGAAATTCCGGGTAGTTAGCTGCAATTTTTTTTCTATCAGGCGTGCCAGGCCAAAGGCATCCTCTAAAGTTCATGGTTTTTTTGTCTTTACGTCGAGCCAAATTTCATCCTTAAGTCCACCAACAAAATAGCCAATCACAAATGGCTCAGGAAGGTCGTCGATCTAATGGCTCAGTTGCTCAAAGGATTCCTCGTAAGCAGCAACAACTGTGGTATGTTTGAGATGAGAAAGGGCCTCAGATGGATCTTCGTATTCTATTGGCCCGAAGCGCACCCGCAAGGATCTCACAAACTCCGCCCAAGAAATTGGGCCTCGGCGCTTAGTCATCCAACGAAACCATTGCAGTGCCAATCCTTCTAAATTCATGGCGGCTAAGCCAAGCTGTCGATCGGGGGTCACACCATAGAACTCAAAATACTACTCCACTTGGTATAACCACCCGGTAGGGTCACCACCTGTAAATTTTGGAAGCACCACTTTTGGATCATGTGGTGGTGGGTTGAGACGACTAGTTTCTCCGTTTGCAAAGGGGTTGATATCCATGGCTGGCGAATCTTGATTTAGGCGTCGATTCACAGCCTGCAATTCTACCGTCACTGATTGTAGGGCTGCAGTGAGTTGATCCAGCAGAGATTCGTGTCGGCCCAGTGCTTCGTTAACTTCTTTCCGAAACTCAGAATTGGTTTTCCTTCGTGTATCCATCGGCTCTGATACCAATCGATAAGCTCAGGAGCAATTGAATTAAGAATAAGCCAAAAAGAAGACTAGTAAATAAGAATAGAAGAAGAGACGATTTTCATATATTTTTTGTCCTCCCATTACATGGATGCAAACACCTATTTAAACACTTCAAATATAGAGAGGTTCCACTCCTACGTGCATAGTGGTCTCTCCCCCACAAAGCCAATAACTAAAACTGTAAACAAATGCAATTGCATAATGGTAAATAATTGTAAGCCAATATAACTATAACAAAGGAAATAATAAGACTCCAGTAGGCTCTACTCCGTATGGGCCAACCAAATAGACAATTGGTTGATAAATGTATCCAGATCCAAATAAGGTGGGTTGGCTTTCCTTATACGTCCACTGGTCCTATCACAATGCTTTTCGAAGGAGTATTTTTTTCGGTTCAATGGACCTCATATGCAACAAGTACAACAATACATTTTAAACAATGTATGCCCAATGCTTTTCGAAGTTACATTTAAAAGGGGAGACTAAATGGCTTTAAGAAGACACTGTGATTACTATGAACTTGAAAGCCCAAAAAGTGGGAATTATTTTGGCAAATAAGAAAATTGAACAATTTTCAGTATATTTTATGTAACTGTATTAATAGCCAATAAAAGTACTTTGATCTCCCAATTCAATGCTAATTTGCAGGCCTAAGAATTTTGAGCATACTTTATATTGCTTCAATAAGTTAATGAGTTTACAAAGACAATTTTGACTATGTATACTCAATTTTGTTTGGGTATTTTTTCAGTTTGTAATAGATAACGAGTAGCAATTAGGCCCTCGACCTAACTTAAAAAGTGCAAATCACCCCTTATATAGGAGGCTCTATCCGGCTGTCGACATTTGGGGAAGTTCCCGGTGGAATTTTTTGATGAAATTTTTAAGCATCTTCTTCATTAAGTCTAGTTTACCCTTATTAAATTTCAGATAAAAGTTCAACAGGGAGGACAGTCAAATGATTTTCTGAAATGTATTGCTCTGTTTAACTACGCAGTTATCTTCAAAAATTCATTTGACTGCTTTCCCGATTAAATGTTTAGCTGAAATTTGGTATGAGTAAACTAGACTTAATGAAGAACATGCTCAAAAAATTCCGTCAAACAATTCCATCAGGAACCTCCCCAAATAGCAACGGTCGGACAGAACCTCCTATATAAGGGGTGATTTGCACTTTTTAATTAAATTCCAGAGCCTATTTGACCCTTTACTCTTTTTTAAAAAGGAGAACCAATAGAAATTGGATTAAGAAAAAATTTCAGTTGCTATGCATATTTACTTTAGCGATGCGATTCAAATACCAATTTTTTGCGTCAATATACATAAAAGAAATTGTGCACACAAAAAATTCATATGTGCTTGACAAAAAAAATTCATATAAGGCTGTAAATAATTTGAAATTGGACTTTAAAAATTGTGTATTAGGGAATAAATAGACGGTGTCAGTATCACATGCATATTTATTTGAAATATTGTCTATTATATAATAATTTGGGGTATTGGGCGTCAATAAAACTATGCCTACAGACAATTTTAAATGGCATTAGGGAGTAACACTTTAGATATTTAAAGAAAATACGGTTTAATTTTAGTATTTTTCATAGGAAAATTCTAGAAATCCAAGTAATAATAATTTACAAAACTTTCTAAACCTTTTCAGAAATCTGGATATGTATTACAAATAGTGACCACTTACCAAAAGCTATTCAAATATGTGAATATGTATAATGTAAATCAACATGCAATACTCAACATATAAAAATTTTCCCCCAAAACCAAAGACGAAGATATTACAAGTTAAAATTATACCAAACATCGATTGGGTAGCAAATCCATCAGCATTTGCATGGTCGGATTGCCCGTGGAGTCGGTATCCCGCTTACGGGGCAGAGCCGATAAGCTGTTAGTAGTAGAATTAGTAATAGGAATATTTATGTACTTTACATTAAACTCTCTTTACTATAAAATATATTTGTCGGGGCTCCTTAGAGAGCATCATGTTCTATTATTCTCACATGGTATCAAGAGCATACTAAAATCCTAGATTTTTCGGTCCTCTCTCTCTACACACCGCGGCCGCACGGCATACTACACAGCCGCCGCGCGCTTTTAACCTAGCCGCAGCAAGATGACTTCGTCGGCCGCCATCTCTTCCGCAGCGCCCACCTCTGCCGTCTCGAGCTCATCTGCCGCGGCCAACACAACAACAATCTCCAGCGCTCCTCTCTCCTTTGGAACGTAGCCGGTCATCAGCTCCATCGAGTCCGGGGTGATTTTTTATTCCAGCTTTGCATCACCCAGCCGGACCTCTATGCCTTATTCCCTTTTTAGGAATTTCCCATCGGTGTTTCCATGGCTGGCACCATCTCCGGTGCAACGAGTACCGCTTGATCCACCACCATTCACGACCGGCTCCTTCTCCGGACCTACGTTCGTCGGCTCTCCTGGGGTTTCTTCCACCCTACCGCCGATTCGAACCACACCGGGCAGCACCAACGGGTCTCCTCTGGCAGAATTGGCTCAGACAATTTCCCACGTGGCTACCAACGTTACAAATATTGTTACTACAAAACTTCTGGTTGTGGAAGAGTACACTACGTGGCGAACGCAGTTTGAGTCATTCCTCGTTTCGCAAGGTCTTCTAGGTATGATCGATGGCTCCATTCAGGTACCTCCCGCTTATTCCATAGATGTTCTAAACCACCAAATTCCCAATCCCGAATTTTCTATTTGGCTGCGAATTGATCAAACCATTCGTTCATTGTTGTTTACAACTCTTTCTCATGATGTTCTTATTAATGTTCTTATTGATGTTAGAATCTAGATTTATGTCTATCAGTTTAGCCCGATCTATGGAATTAAAGCGTCTTCTGTCCCAAATTAAAAAGAAACCAGATCAGTCTATGGATAATTATTTACGGGATATTAAAATTCTAGTTGATGATATTGCTAAAATTAATTGCCCCATACCTCCTCGCGAAGTGCTGAAGACTACTGTTATGGGTTTGGGATCTGAGTATGAATCTTTGTTCCCCACTGTCTCGTTCTTCCCACAAAATTTTCCTTTGAGACACTTCGCAATCATCTTCTTGAACAAGAGCAGCAGGTTCTGTATTTACACTCCCAAGAGTCTCCCTCCATGCACAGGCCTTCGGCGCTACTACCTCCTAACCCGGGCAGCCGACTGGCCAGCAACACTGGCCAGCAGCCACAGCCGGGATTTCCAGCGTCGGGCGGACAACAGCGGCCTCCAAGACAGCCGCAGCAGCAGCAGCGTGGCTGCGGACACGGTCGTGGACGCGGTGGCCGTGGACGCGGACAGCAGTGGCAGTTCGGGTATCCGCAGCAGGGGCACAATTTTTATAACCCCGAAGAGGGTGGTAAGCCGGTTCCAGCTGGGTATGCTCCACATGCAGGGGGTGTGCCATCTACGGGTAATGTTATTTGTAATTCTACCACGTCACACTTAAATATTAATGCATTACATGTTGGTGTTACTTATTCTAGTTCTGCAGGCTTGCCATCAGACGGGGGTATTCTTGGTTTTGTTCCCCATCCTGTTGTGTGTCAAATTTGCTTTTTCTGCAGGTCATTCTGCTTTACGTGTCCCTCATGCTTCACTAAGCCGTCCACTCATGCTCTATTGACTACTCCCAGTGAATCTAATTCGGCTATATGGTATCCTGATTCGGGAGCATCAGCTCACATGATTGCATCCGAAGGTATTTTACATAATAAATCTGCTTACAATGGCTATAATTCTGTTAGTGTTGCTAATGGTGCCCATTTACCCATTTGTCATGTTGGTGATGTTGCATTACCTTCTTCTGGTCGTTCTCTCACCTTAAAATCCGTTTATCATGTGCCTCGGTTAAAGTATAATTTGGTTTCTATTAAGAGGCTTTGCGCAGATAATAACTGTACTATCATTTTTTATAAATATTCTTTTTGTATTAAGGACAAAGCCTCGGGGGCGGTGCTTCTGCGAGCTACCAGTAGTGGGTCACTTTATCCTCTCCGTCTGCCATCATCTCCATCCTTAGTTTTAGCTTCTGTTTTGGCTTCTAGCCTTGTGTGGCACCGTATATTAGGTCACTGTGGTGATAATATTTTACAGTTTCTTAAACGTCGATAATTTTTATGTAGTCATTCTCCTTTTACTCATGATTGTATTGCTTGTTGGTTAGGAAAATCATAATGTTTGCCCTTTACGGATGCTAGTCATAATTCTTCTCTTCCTTTACAAATTATTCATTCCGATGTATGACAATCTCCAGTTTGTTCTAATTTGGGATTCAAGTATTATGTCTATTTTATTGAAGATTATTCTCGTTTGTAGAGAGTGACTTACCAAATATGGAGATTTTCATCGCCGGCGTAGATTCTTCCTCTTCCGTCAACATCCCTGCAGATGGTTAATCGGAAAAAGTATTCTGTGATCAATTAACTTTATGATTTGGTACCATAATAACTTTATGATTTGCGCAGGTTTGCTATTAGGAGGAAAAAGATAAAAAACTTAATAATGTTTCTTCTTGCTTGCTTCATGAACCGAACCCCACAATTAAATACAAGAAGATCCACCTCAAATTGGATGGTCATCCCTAATATATATTAGGCTAAGGAATGACTACCATAATTAAATAATATCCTAGCCATAAATAAAAAACAATCTTAAGCAATATTTCCCAAAAATATCTCCCAATATATAAGGTTATGTTATTGATGTAAAGGTTAGATACTAACCTAGAGCAAACCTTGGAAAAAACTAAAAACCGAGTTCACCGAAAAACACCCATTCTAGGCCCCTGTTTTCGTATCAACGGTTAGGGATTGAACTAGCACTTTGAGGGGGCTGTTTAACACTCATTTCTAAGCAAGGAAGTAGCTCTCAAACTTTCTTGGTCGAATCTTTGGTCATTGGATCAAGAAGAAAAAGTTTAAAGCTCAATTAAGGTGAGGATCGACATCTAGTTGCCTACAACTTGTAGGTTAAGCATGAGATTACATAAATGTCTAAATCATGTTTTCATGGATTATGATGATTAATTATTGATCAAATAATTATATATTTCATAAGGAACTAAATTGGAAATGATTTGAAGTCATATTGATAAAATGGTCAATATTTGCTCATGTATGAAATGTGTAGATACATAAATGAATATTTATGTATT